TCTGCACAGGTCATTTTTCAGCTTTTACAACTCTCACACTTTGACAATTGTGTGGTCATGCAACGCTGTACCCAAACTAAATTTTTATCATTTTTTCTTCACACAAATAGCTTTCGTTTGGTGGTATTTTTAATCACCACTTGGGTTTAAATTTTTTGCTAAATTTAACAAAAAAAGACTGAAAATTAAACCATCTCTCCTCCCCCCCCCCCCCCCCCCCCAAAAACACATTTTTCTTTCTGTTACAAAAGTTTGCAGATAAATATTTGTTCTTCATAAATTAGGCAAAGATGTATTCTGCTACATTTCTTTGCTGAAAATAACCCAAATCAGCATTTATTTAGTTTGTAGGAAAGTTTATAGAGTTCACAAACTATGGTATATATCTGAAAATTGATCAATCCTGAAGTACTGACAGCCAATCTAATTTCTTGAGGTCCAAATATATCAGAACAGTACAGATATCCCCCAAATAACCCCTCTTTGCAAAGTAGACAGTCCGACGTATTTCATGAGAGGCATGCCGATTTCTTTGAAGTTGTAATTTTTTTGTAATTGTTCAGAAAATGAAGCAATTTAAAAAAAAAAAAAAAAAAAAAAAAAAAAAAAAAAAAAAAAAGATTGTGAAAATAATTTTTTTTAATTTTTTTTTTTTTTTTAAAGATTTTTTTTTTTTTTTTGCAAATTATGCTATGACCAAAGTAGTATAATGTTACCATAGTAACATTGCACTACTGTGGGGAAGTGATCAGTATTGTTTTTTTTTTTTTTTTTTTTTTTTTTTTACACAATTTGATTGCTTATAGCTTATAACATTTAACTGAAATCAATTCATTCAGTTTCTTTTTACACACTTGTATACAATGGATGGTATGAAAGGAAGCCATCCATTGTATACAACTAAACATGTGACCTGCTATGATTGGTCACAGTAGGTCACACGGTACTGGAAACAGGGCCGGTACATAGAGGTACACAGCCAGTGACAGATGTCTCCACAGCGTGGCCCTGCGGGCATGCGCAAAGTGCAATCTGGGAAGGTTGTCATATGATGCCCTCCCAGAGGGACAAGAGGTTCGCCCAGCCATCAGTTGGCTATAGACTGGGCGGCAAGTGGTTTAATAGCAAAAAGTAAAAAATATTATTATTTTCCAAATTGTCGGTTTTTGTTTATAGCACAAAAAATAAAAAACACAGAGGCGATTAAATACCACCAAAAGAAAGCTCTATTTGTGGGGGGGAAAAAAAGGTAAATTTCATTTGGATGCAGCGTTGCATGACCACGCAATTGTCAGTTAAAGTAATGCAACGCTTTATTGCAAAAAAAATGGCCTGGTCAGTAAGAGGGGGTAGATCCTCTGGAGGGCAAGTGGTTAAAGGATAACTAAAGGCAAAATGCGTTTTTTTTTTTTTTGGATAGCGTCAAGATGGATTAGATTAGAACACTTGTCAGTTTTTATTGCTGCCTGTTCCCTTGTTAGGCTGCTTTTACACTGGTTCGCCTCAAAAACGCTTGAAAAATGACAAGCGTTTTTGAGGCGTTTTTCAAGAGGAACATCCTGGGCATGTGACTTACTTTTGTAGCTCAAATTGGGCAGATTTGCACGTTTGAATTCAGTAAAAAACACTACATACTGCATGAGTAATTTTATCAAGTCATGCAGTATTTTAATAGTGAAAACCATGCGTTAGTGTCTCAGCTGTCAGTGGAGTTCCCCACTGACAGCTGAATGTAAAAGAATTGCTACCAATTAAAAAAATAATAAATGGCATGGGGTTCCCCCCCTCCATCCATACCAAGCTCTTCCGGTCTGATATGGATTTTGAGGGGAATCCCCACGCAAGGCCTCTTCCCCCACAATGCTGGGTTGTGGGGGTCTACGGGTGGGGGGGCTTATCAGAATTTTGGAAGCCCCCCTTTAGAAAGGGGGCCCCCAGATCCCTATCTTCCCCCATGGTACATGTTACCGCTACCCATTCACAAAAAAAACCTGTAGTGTAAAAAAAAGAAAGGAGACCGTCTTTGACAAGTCCTTTACTAAAAGAAGGAAAACAAAAATGTCCCCCGAAGTGGATCACGATGTCTGCTGCCGACCAGAAAAAAAGAAGAAAAAAAAAGGCTCCGCTCCTGATGCTGGCTCCCAGCCGTCTGACTACTCTGCTGGCTTGACAGTTCTTAAATATGTAAAGGGCGGGGCCATCATGTATGTGAGCCCGCCCCGTGTGACATCATTGACCCAGCATGCCCCAGTCGATGACGTCACACAGGGGTGGAGTCGCGTGGGTGATGTCACCAGGTGGCCCTGTCCCTTACATATTTAAGAACTGTCAAGCCAGCGGAGCAGTCAGACAGCTGGGAGCCAGTGTCGGGAGCAGAGCTGCCGCCCTTTTATTTATTTATTTATTTTTCTTATTTTTCCGGTCAGCGGCGGGCATCGTGATTGACATTGAATCTACTTTGTGATTGACGTTGGCTCTACTTCGGAGGACATTCTTTTATTTTCCTTCTTTTAATAAATGACTTGTCAAAGACTGTCTCCTGCCTTTTTTTCAAACTAAAGTTTTTTTATTTTTTGTGAATGGGTAGCGGTGCCATGTACCCCATACTCATTCACATGGGGGGAGCAGGGATCCAGGGGCCCCCTTGATAAAAGTGGGCTTCCAGATTCTGATAAGCTCCCCCTCTGCCCGCAGACCCCCAGAACCACAGCCCAGGGTTGTGGGGAAGAGGCCCTTGTCCCTATCAACGTGGAGACAAGGTGCTTTAGGGGGTAGCTCCCTACCGTCCCAAAGCACCCCCCCATGTTGAGGGCATGTGGCTTGCTCGTCCTCCCCTTTCCTGACCTGCCAGGCTTCATGCTCAGATAAGGGTCTGGTATGGGGGTTTTCCTCAACATCCATACCAGACCTGAAGGACTTGGTCTGGATAGAAGGGGGGACCGGTTTTTAAATTATTTTTTTAATTGCCGGCAATTCTTTCTTTTACAATCAGCTATCTGTGGAGAACCCCACTGACAGCTGAAACAGCCAGACCTTCCCACATGTGCGGTTTTAAGCGTTTTTTGAGGCGGTTACCATTCCTTTCAGTGGGAAGAGGCATTTTTTTTTTTTTTTAACTCCTCAAACATGCCTCAAAGATGCTGCAAGCAGGAGTTTTTACACCGCATCGCAAGCGCAACGCCTCAGTGTGAAAACCTACATAGATATATATTCACCTACACAGGGAAGCCGTTTTCTTCAGATTTTCAGGCATTTTTTTTTTTTTAATGCAAAAAACGCTTCAAAAACTCCACAGTGTGAAAGCAGCCTTATGGAGAATTGCCCTCTATTTGTCCTATTTACAATTATCATGGAAAGTGAAAGTAAAATAAAATCCCAAATTTTGGGCTGTCCCAAAAGTAAAAAAAAGAAAAGTAATAGAGAGAAAATCTTCCAATGGGAATACTAGTTCTGGTGACTTGGGGGGCTCCATGGGATTCCCTTACTTTGCAGGGATTTCCTCACTTCTTGTTTTGGCAATGGGACAGGAAGTGAATGGAAATCTCCCCAATGGAACACAGATGGCAAAAAACCCACCCGTACGTATGTATATGTGTATATGTGTATATGTGTATATATATATATATATATATATATATATATATATATATATATATATATATTTTTTTTTTTTGGAGCAACAGAGTCATCCTCGGACTGCAGCATTGCACGGATAGGGTAGTGTTGGATGATTTCACATAAGTGACTAAATTAAATGTTAAGGTTTTACATAACTGAATAAAAGCTGATCATTGTAAGCACCTCTGTCAGTGTAAATGATTTAATGATTTGTCCCCACACTGTAACTGCCACTGTTGCTCGACAGCTTGGTCTATTAAAAGATGTTGCAAAATAACAGAATAAAGCTGGCCATAGATCTTCCTTTTTTTTTTTTTTTTTTTTTTTTTTCTTTGCTCAGCCAATAGGCTGAATGGAAAAAAGAGTGGATTCCTCAGTCCACACTATCGAGGTAGATGAGACCTTGTATTCAGACAGTAGGGACTTTCCACTGTCAGAATACACTGATCTACTACAGCTGCTGATCAAAACAATTTTTCCAGTAAGGCTGTTCTACAGAAGAATGTCATTTGGTATACTTCTGCCGCTGAACTTGGATCGAAATTTGGCTGGGTGCTGCTAAACCAGACAAATTTCAGTCTTCAAAGGCCAAGTATATTAACCAGATCACACTGCGTGAAAATTAAAAGTGAAAAATCCTTTAAAAAACAAAAAAACTTAAATTGGCCTTTGTATTTAATATTGCTTCAAAGTGATATTAAAAGTTTTTTTATTAAAAAAAAAAAAAAAAAAAGTCACACCTGCTTTGTGCAGTGGTTTTGCACCTCCTCTTCCCCCAGTGCTCCTGGCTTCTCCCCCTTGACCAGTGCACTCAATATCAAGCCCCATGCTCTCTCCTGTGCCCCGCTGTATGTCCCCAGTTTATTTTCATTGGCTCACTGGCTGTGATTGATAGCAGTGGGAGCCAATAGCTCCTGCTGCTGTGTCTCAGCCAATGAGGATAGAAATACCTGGGAGAACTGAGGCTTCTGTGCATGTCTGTGGATCGAGAGGGGGCTCAGGTGAGTATTAGGAGGGCTTTGGGGGGCAGCACACAAAAGGTTTTGTACCTTCATGCAGAGAATTCATTAAGGTAAAAAACCTTCAGCCTTTAGAATCACTTTAACCACAACCTACAGGGCACTTATACCCCCTTCCTGCCCAGGCCAATTTCCATCTTTCAGCGCTGTCGCACTTTGAGTGACAATTGCGCGGTCATGCAACGCAAGACCCATATGAAATTTGTATCATTTTTTGTGACAGAGCTTTATTTTGGTGGTATTTAATCACCTCCTGGGTTTTTTATTTTTTCTTAAACCAAAAACCACTGAAAATTTTGAGAAAAATGTTTTTTTTTCTTAGTTTTTGTTATACAATTTTGTAAATAAGTGATTATTCTCCTTCACTGATGTGCGCTAATGAGGCTCCAGTGATGGGCACTGATAGGCTGCACTGATGGACACTGATAGGTGGCACTGATGGGCACTGATGAGGAGGCACTGGTAGGTGGCATTGACAGGCATCACTGATGGGCACTGATATGACACTGATATATGGCACTGGGCACTGAAAGGCAGCTCAGATGGGCACTGATATCTGGCATTGATGTGCACTGGTAGGAACTGATATGTGGCATTGATGTGGCACTGATGGGCACTGGAAAGAGGCACTGATGAGCACTGACACAAGGCACTGATGGACACTGACAGGTGGCACTGCTGGGGCTACACTGATCATCAGTGCCCTGATGATCAGTGTACATGTTCCCTCCGCGGAAAGCCGATTACCGGCTCTCCTCTCGAGCTTTCAGCGTGACAGCTCGAGCGAGAAATGCCGATAACTGGCATTTCCCTGTTTACATGTGATCAGCTGTGATTGGTCACAGCTGATCACATGACCGAGCCGACAGATTCGGCTCTTTCTGTGATCGGTGATCTGCTGTTTCCAAGGGACACAGCGCACCGCCGATCGCTGCGTGCTCCCAGAGCCGCGCGTGCGCGGTGAGAATGGGAGGACGTCAGATGACGTCCTCCCAGAACGAGAGAACCATCTTGCGTCTGTCATATTACTATATGGTGGGCGGGAGGTGGTTAAGCAAAGGTCGTCTTTCTGCTCACAGCTGTGTGTGACTGGACAATGAAGGAGCAGTACTGTTTCATTCTTCTGCTCATACTCCTCTCTCCTCCTCTGACAACGTTTCTTTACAATACAGCACAGTGCATGCAGAATACCCTAGTTATTGATGCCTAGGGTTATCCAATCTTTCTTTGATGGGATTACAAGATTTTACATCTATTTTTTGTTCATAATTGCATTAATTGATTTTTTTTTTCCAAATCTCTCAGTTTTAACCTCTTTACGCCAGCAGGAGCTGGTGCTTTAAGTGAGCAGTAGTTGACCTTGAGCTGTTGGTAATCACTTTGTTACAGTTCTGATGAAGTGCACCCAGAAAAAGACAGCGACTTACATATGCAGTGGCTGGGCGTTAAAGCTCACCTGCCCTCCCGCCTCATAAATGTGTAACTATGGTAAATAGGTAAAATGGACCTTAAAATGCAAGGTTGGGCTTATTTTCTACCTTCCCACACCCACTAAATTTTTTAGTTTAAAATCTGAAAAAAAAGCAACAATTAGAAGAATGAGGGAAGAAAACTTACTTTGAACCCTGGCTTTCAGTCGCTTTCTTGCAGGTGGCAGTGACGTTAATGTACTTCACTGCTGCCTCCATGAAGAGCTGAGTACCCCAAATTGCAGTATCCTGCAGGAGCACATTGCCTGAGATGTTGAGCACTCCTATTTGCCAGGAGGCATTGGTGAGGCACAGTTACTGGCGTCTGTAGGAGGCATGAGGGTCTGAGGTATGTATTTTTTCCCTCTTTTCTTATGACTTTCAAAGGTGGGGGGGATACCCCTGTCAATGGGTATGTAAGCTTCAGAACTGGACCACGGAGCAATGAAAGACACTGTTACTTAATATGAGTTAGAGGTGTTGACTTTGCTTCCATATTCTTCAGATCTCAGTCAAATTAAGTATCTGTGTGATGTACCTGAAGAACAAGTCCAATACAAGGCCTCACCTCGCAACTTTAACCAATTTCAGTCCGGGCAAATTCTGACATTCCGCACCTACATGTAAAAAATCGGCGTTTTTTTTTTTGCTAAAAAACTACTTAGAACCCCCAACCATTTCATGTGATGTTATGCTGTGTAAATAAATACCAAACATGTCACTCTTTAAAATTGTATATGCCTGTGGAACGGCGCCAAACTTCGGTACCTAAAAACATCCATAGGCTAAGCTTTAAAGGCCTTTACGGCTCATGTACACTGTACACTGCAGCTGATAAACTGATGTTCAGGAGCTTTTCTGTGTTTTTTTTTTTTTTTTTTTTCAGTAGCCCCTAAACTCTCCCTAATGTTTTCCTATGTGTCCATATACACAGTCGTTTACAGGCAGTTGAGTTTACAGTTACTGCGTTCAGGAGTAGATTTTACCGGCGTTCCTAACGCCAGACACTTGTAAACGCGGTTAACCACGTTTATAAGCGTTTGTGTTTAGAAGCGGTTTTTGACTTGTACATATCCAGGGCACAATTCACTAAGCGGTATACTCAGATGCGGTAGGATACAGCATAGCCTATTTTTAAAAAAAAAAAAAAAACATTTGAATCCACTAAAAAAGGCTACTAAAATACCGCATGAGTTATTTTATCAAGTCATGCAGAATTTTAGTAGTGAAAAGCATGCATCATGTTTCAGCTGTCAGCGGAGTTCCCACTGACAGCTGAATGTAAAAAAAAAGAATTGCCAGCAATTAAACAATTTTAAAAAATGGTGTGGTGTCCCCCCTCCCATCCATACCAAAATTTTTAAAAAAATGGTGCGGGGTTCTTTCCAAAGTAGATCCAACGTCAATCACGATGTCTGCTGCACCGAAAAAAAAAAAAAAGTTTCCGATACTAATGCTGGCCCCCGGCTGTCTGCTCAGAAGCAGGTCTGACAGTTCTTAAATATATAAGGGGCGGTGCCATCACGTATGTGACATCAGTGACCAGCATGCCCCAGTCGATGTCACATGGGGGGCGGGATCACGGATCATGTCACCGGGTGGCCCCGCCCATTACATATTTAAGAACTGTCAAACCAGCTCAGAAGCAGATGGCCGGAGGCCAGCGTCAGCAGCGGAGCCTTTATTTTTTTCAGAGCGGCGGGCATCGCGATTGACGTTGGATCTACTTTGGGGGACATTCTCAAAGAATGACTCGTGTCTTTTTCACACTACAGCTTTTTTTTGTGAATAGATAGCGGTACCATGCACCCCATACTCAATGTGGGGGGGGGGCCAGGATCTGGGGGGCCCCCTTGCTAAATGAGCCCCCCCGCTCGTAGACCCCCACAGCCACAGCCCACGGTTATGGGGAAGAGCTCCCCCTACCCCAAAGCCCCCCCCCATGTTGAAGGCATGTGGCTTGGTATGGTTCAGGAGGGGCGGCGCTTGCACTCGCTCACCCCCCCCCCCCTTGCCAGACCTGCCGGGCTGCATGCTCGAATAAGGGTGGGCCTGGTATGGATTTTGGGGGGAACCTCCATTTTTTGGCGTCGGGCTTCCCCTCAAAATCCAAACCAGACCCGAAGGGCTTGGTATGGATGGAGGGGGGGACCTTACACCGTTTTGTAAAATTATTTTTTTAATTGCCCACAATTCTTTCTTTTACATTCAGCTGTCAATGGGAATCCCGCTGACAGCTCAAACATTAATGCATGCTTTTCACTACTGAAATACTGCATGACTTGATAAAATAACTCATGCGGTATTTTAGTAGCCTTTTTTAGTGAATTTACTATTTTTTTCAGTGCATTCTGGGCTTTTGGGAGGGTCTCCTGAGGTTATCTTTTTAAAACTCTTCTAAACGCAAACGTGCATAAATGCGGCTAAATGCGGTTTAAAAACGCGGCTAATCTGATGTTTTTTAGCCCATGTTTTCCAGCAGTCAGTTTCCATCGTTCAGAAGAGTTTTCCTAACGCCCCGTGTACATGAACCCTTACAGGTTACAAGTTTACATTTACATAGGTCTAGCACTAGAATTATTGCTCTCACTGTGATAACGCACATTTGTGGTGCAATTTTCATTTACATGTGTGTGTGGACCGATGCACATGTGTGCCTTTGCACTTGAGCACAGGGGAACAGAGGTGCTCAAAGTAAATAAGTCAATTTTTTTTTTTTACGCTGTACTTTAAAAATTTTTTTTTTTTAATCAACTTCATTGCTATTGCAACAGATGAACAACTTCCCTTGTGATAGCATGGGCTGTGACAGGTTTTCTTTATGGAGATATCTGGGGTTTGAGACCCCATAGCTCTCCCCTGTCCTCCAAAACATCTGATCAAATGAAGATCAGTGTGAGCTGATGCTTTCACAAGCCAGTAATGGTTTATTTACATGAGACCAAAACCGGAAGTGATGAAATCCTTGCTACTTCCGGTTTCTGTGGTCACACAGTGGGGGAGGAACAACATCAGTTCCTCTCACTGTGTCCCAGGATCCAGATGCCGCCAGTCACATCCTTACCAGGCTCCCTGTCTGGATGGGAGTGCCTGAAAAAAAGCGGCAGAAAGGGGGGATCTTTTCCTCTGCCTGTAAAAGTAATCTGTATAGCCTCACAGATTACTTTTACTAAATAGAGTATCGCTAGCTGAAAAAAAAACTATACCTGGATCATGATTGTAGCTGTGGTCATGATCCTGATATAGCCACTTCATCCTTAGGCCGTTTAAATCCTGTTTAACCACTTACCATCCCTTAAGCTTTTTTTAAAGGATCTGCTACTGATGGCTTGGTGCCATATACCACAGCATACCTTCAGAGGTCTAGTGGAGTCTATGCCTCAACTGGTTATGGTGGGTGATCATAAGATTATATCCTTTAAATTGTAAGCTCCACGAGCAGGGCCCTCACATTCCTTCTGTACTGAAAGTATTGTAATTGTACTGTCTCCCTTGTATTGTAAAGCGCTGCACAAACTGTTGGCGCTATATAAATCCTGTATAATAATATCTGATTGGTGTAAATTGTACTGATATATCTGGAGACTGCAGTTCTGATCTACTGGCTCCAGTAGTGTGAGTCATTGAAATAGGTTCTGACATAACCTGCAGCCTACTTGTTCTGAATGCCTTGACATCCACTTTAATCTCATACTACAGATATACAGCTTTGAGGTTGTGTGCCCAGGAGTACCTACGTACATGCGAAAATTGCATGGCTGTGTTTCAGCAGTATTTCTAGACAAAGGGTAGATATAAGTAATGTTTTGGCACAAGTAACACATTTTCTCTCAAACAGTAGATCTTCACTTTTTTTTAATTCAGTTCCACTATAACCAGTGGTCATTGACTGTTGTAAATATATTCTTGCATTGTCCTAACTTGACAGAGGTGCAGTTGGTGGACCTGAACCTATATAACTTTTAAGATGTTTATTGGGGTTGTGCGAAAGTCCTGATTGTAGATTAGCTGGCAGGTAATCTACAGTAGATGACAGAGGTAAGTAAGGTTACTGTTGATAGAAGCTAGTGAAGTGAGACATGGCATTCTTAAGGGATTCCAAAGTTTAATTTCGGTTAAAAATTAATGGTTCCATTATGGGCATGTATTGAAGCTTTGACCTTTTTAAAGTGGTATGTTGATTTAAAATGTTTTAAATCTCAGTTATGGGACACTTGTTTCCCTTAGACTACTAGGTCCGAATAGCGATGCAGGTTTTATACTTCTGTGATGGTTTGAATGCATCATGACCCCCCTGGATGTCTGTCCCAGATAGCCATAGATTTGTCAGAGGTGATTTCAAAATGAATTGCATAATTGGTTTGGGGAAAACAGATCTTTTAGTCAGGTCTTTTATGCCTGCATTCAGACCTAAGCAGAGTGATTTTTAGGCATTTACAAGGGTTTCAGAAGTATATTTCAAGCGTTTTATATGTTCACTTTTCAGGCATTTTTCATGTGGCTGATGGAAAGCACTAGGGGAGAAGATCAGTTCTTACTAATAGTATTAATAGTAGTTCTTACTACTACTACTACTGCTACTAGCTTAAAACAAAGCCTAAAAAACTGCTTGAATGTTCAATTTGTTCATTTTTCAGACAGTTCTCATTCATGTCTAGGGGACAAAAATGCACAATTCTGCCTCAGGAATAGCCCATGTAGCTTTTTGGAGTGTCGGGCACTGAGCTGAAGGCTCGTACAGTATGTGAACAGCCGCCTTTGAAATACCTGAGATCTTAGATGTGAATGGGGCCTAATAGTCTAATATCAGCAAGCAGGAAATCAGGTAGATTTTATATTTGCATAAAAGGAAAGGTGAGGGAAGAGATACTTGCACAATTTGGAATATTCTAGCATGGGTGAGATGAGTTTCCTGTTTAGCAGTTCAGTACTAAATGTAAACCTTCTACCGAGGTAATGTATAAAGGTTGCCCTACAAAGTTTTCTTTGTTCATTTTTGTTTACAAATGGAGAGCATTTCTTCATCATTCTTAAAAATTAAGATGTTACATTCCTTGGCAGAAATGATGACTGCAGCCTTTAAACTTCACAAAGACAAATGTCAGGCAGGCTGCCTTTAGGTCCGTAAGATTCTGTCTTTTTAATGATGTCTGTATCCTCATATAGTTAGTTTCTCTCAGTTGTGTCATTGGGATGGATGTTTCACAGCAGGAAGTGAAGGGAAATCTCCCCATCAGGGATGCAGACACCAAAATAAACCATTTTTTTAGTACAGTCAAGAAGTTGGCAAGTGTTAGACAGAACAGGAAGTGAGGAGAAAAAGCTGGAGTTGGGCTTACAAACAAACTTGAAGTTGGGAATGCCTCATCCAGTGCTGTACACAGAAGGTACTTCCAGTTATTTTTTTTCCAGGTATTTTTTTTTTTTTTTGCATAGTTAAATTGGTCCATCTTGGACCAGTGTAAGTGTTACATGTTCCATACCCGGCTGATCCCTGTGGAAGTGAAGAATCACTGTAGTAATTATTGCTACTGCAGTGCTCCTCACTATCTTCCGAGTTCATCCTGAGCAAGCTGCCCTGCTGCATACTAACCACAGGGGGTCGCCTGATTGTCACATTTAGAGAATGCTTTGCATTTTTTTCAGTGAATAGGAAGCATTCTTTGTTTGAACAAGGCGAAAATTTACATCTCTGCCCCGCCTCTCCAAATCATCCAATAAGAGAAGGCTTGCATGCAGTGGGAAAAAAATACAAGGCATTCTCTGAATGACAGCCTTTCTAAGCAAACATTCTCTTATGGTTATTATATACTACCAGGGGTGGACTGACCATTTGGAAACTCGGGCACTCCCGAGGGCCAGGGGTCAGTAGGGGGTCCCATGAGATGCCCCTGGTACCTTTTTCATAGACTTTTTTTTGAGTTTGGGCAAGGACACAGGGGCCCCATGATCCCCTCTTGCCCGGGGGCCCCGTGAGTTGTCAGTCCGCCCCTGTATACTACTATCTTAGTTATGCAATCACATTATTTTGAGGTTAAATAGTTTGTATTATCTCAAAACCTTCTCATTTTTTACATTTTAATGGCAGTGACCGCTCCTTCGCAGGATAAAAAATATATGTGTACAGCGGGTGTTCAGATCCACTCGCCTCGAAGGCATATACATGTGTTTTGCCCGAGGTAAGTGGTTGAGCTTGCGAGGGAGGTAAAATCGAGCACTAACTCACTTTACCCCAGACGTCTCTAACCAGAAGATTACTGAGTGACTTAAGGCATCCACGTTGTGAAAAGAGACCTGTAATGAATGAATCTTGAGGCTGCCATTACTGACCTCCTTCAAAGTAGTTGTAAAGGCTCAAAGTTTTTTACCTTCATGTATTCTATGCATGAAGGTAAACTTTCTGTGTGCAGCAGTGCCCCCAGCCCCTTCAATACTTACCTGGGCTTCATCACGATCCAGCGATGTGAACAACAGCCTTGGCTGTCCTGGGTCTCTGCCTTCTCATTGGCTGAGACAGCAAGGGGGAGCCATTGGCTGCTTGCTGTGGGGGCACCCTTTAGGAAGGAGGTACCAGGAGAGCCTGCAGGGGACCCAAGAAGAGGAGACTTCAGGCAGGTCTGTGCAAAACCACTGTACACAGCAGGTAAGTATAGACATGTTTGTTATTTAAACCCCCCCCCCAAAAAAACCTTTTAGAATCGCTTTAAACTACTTGTCTGGCTTCTGGTGAGGGTGAATTTTCTTGGGTGATTTGTGCTATACTGGGCCATAGAAATACATTGAAACAATGCACTTACTGTATTGTCGTAGTAATATTTCATTTTACTTGTTAAAATCCCAACATTTTCATTCATGTGAATGAGAAGTTTTCCCAACAGGAACTCTGAAGTAAATGCTCCCTAACAGATCCAACCCTTTCCTGCACTGTTCAGAATTAAGGAAAAAATGTATGTGCTGGAATTACACTTCAATCATTTCAAAACTAGGCAATTTTTTACATTTCTCATATGCTTCTAAAAACGTTATTTTTCTGTTACAATATTACTTAGAACCCCCAAAAATATGTATATTTTTTTTCTGTGAGCAAAGTCCCAAGAGAATAAAATGGTATGTGTTGCATTTTTTTATATCACAAAATATTTGCGCAATAGTTTATAAAATGAAAATTTTCTGGAAAAAATACTTTAAGGAATTTTAGTGCTCACAAACAATATGTTCTTTTTTTTTTTTTTTTTTTTGTATTTTGTAAAATATGAAAGGGGTTACGCCAAGTAAACAGATATCTACATGCTAGGAGAACAGCTGGTAGAATCAATGATGAAGGATCTGGGTGTTCTGGTTTATCACAAGCTTAATATCATGCAATGCCAAGCTGCAGTTTCCAAAGAGAGCAAATACTTTGTTGTATTAAGAGAGGTATAGACTCCAGAGAGAGACATCATTTTGCCCCTGTACAAATCATTAGTAATACCTCATCTGAAATATGCAGTTCAGTTTTGAGCACCAACTCACTAAAAGGATACCAGAGAACTGGAGAAAGTACAGAAAAGGGGAACCAAACTAATAAGAGGCATGGAGGAGCTCAGCTATGAGGAAAGATTAGAGGAACTGAATTTATTCTCTCTTGAGAAGAAGAGATTAAGGGGGGATATGATCAACATGTATAAATACATAAGTGGTCCATATAATGAACTTGGTGTAGAGTTATTTACTTTAAGGTAATTACCGAGGACAATTCCATTGTGAAAATGTGGAATAGACTCCCTCAAGAACTACCGCATTTTTTGCTCCATAAGACGCACTTTTTTCCCCCAAAAAGGGGGGAAAATGTCAGTGCATCTTATGGAGCGAATATAAAGCGTCCGTCCTGTATTTCCGCCGCCACCATGTCAGAATACTGGGTCGGCTGCTCAACTGTTCTCTGCGTCAGGAACTCACCTGTTCCTCGGTCCAGCGCTGTAGTCTTCCCGCGCCGGCTTCTTCCCGCCCCGGCATCTGTGACAGCCGGTTGCCCACTGCGCATGCGCGAGAAGCCCTGCGCTTTGTGAATGGTCCGGTGTCTTCTGGGACACATGACAGGTCCCAAAAGACACCGGGCCATTAACAAAGCACAGCGCTTCTCGCGCATGCGCAGTGGGCACCCGGCTGTCAAATTCAGGTACCCGCTCCCCCTCCTTCCCTAAAGGTCCGCAGTGTCTGGTCATCCCTGTGCTGTCTGCAGTCTCTGGTCATCCCCTGTACTGTCCGCAGTCTCTGGTCATCCCCTGTACTGTGTCCGCAGTCTCTGGTCCATCCCCTGTACTGTGTCCGCAGTCTCTGGTCCATCCCCTGTACTGTGTCCGCAGTCTCTGGTCCATCCCCTGTACTGTGTCCGCAGTCTCTGGTCCATCCCCTGTACTGTGTCCGCAGTCTCTGGTCCATCCCCTGTACTGTGTCCGCAGTCTCTGGTCCATCCCCTGTACTGTGTCCGCAGTCTCTGGTCCATCCCCTGTACTGTGTCCGCAGTCTCTGGTCCATCCCCTGTACTGTGTCCGCAGTCTCTGGTCCATCCCCTGTACTGTGTCCGCAGTCTCTGGTCCATCCCCTGTACTGTGTCCGCAGTCTCTGGTCCATCCCCTGTATGTACTGTGTCCGCAGTCTCTGGTCCATCCCCTGTATGTACTGTGTCCGCAGTCTCTGGTCCATCCCCTGTATGTACTGTGTCCGCAGTCTCTGGTCCATCCCCTGTATGTACTGTGTCCGCAGTCTCTGGTCCATCCCCTGTATGTACTGTGTCCGCAGTCTCTGGTCCATCCCCTGTATGTACTGTGTCCGCAGTCTCTGGTCCATCCCCTGTATGTACTGTGTCCGCAGTCTCTGGTCCATCCCCTGTATGTACTGTGTCCGCAGTCTCTGGTCCATCCCCTGTATGTACTGTGTCCGCAGTCTCTGGTCCATCCCCTGTATGTACTGTGTCCGCAGTCTCTGGTCCATCCCCTGTATGTACTGTGTCCGCAGTCTCTGGTCCATCCCCTGTATGTACTGTGTCCGCAGTCTCTGGTCCATCCCCTGTATGTACTGTGTCCGCAGTCTCTGGTCCATCCCCTGTATGTACTGTGTCCGCAGTCTCTGGTCCATCCCCTGTATGTACTGTGTCCGCAGTCTCTGGTCCATCCCCTGTATGTACTGTGTCCGCAGTCTCTGGTCCATCCCCTGTATGTACTGTGTCCGCAGTCTCTGGTCCATCCCCTGTATGTACTGTGTCCGCAGTCTCTGGTCCATCCCCTGTATGTACTGTGTCCGCAGTCTCTGGTCCATCCCCTGTATGTACTGTGTCCGCAGTCTCTGGTCCATCCCCTGTATGTACTGTGTCCGCAGTCTCTGGTCCATCCCCTGTATGTACTGTGTCCGCAGTCTCTGGTCCATCCCCTGTATGTACTGTGTCCGCAGTCTCTGGTCCATCCCCTGTATGTACTGTGTCCGCAGTCTCTGGTCCATCCCCTGTATGTACTGTGTCCGCAGTCCATTGGTTCAGAATATTTTTTTTCTTGTTTTTCTCCTCTAAAACCTAGGCGCGTCTTATGGTCAGGTGCGTCTTCTAGAGCGAAAAGTACGGTAGTTCTGGCCAGCTCAGTAGATAGTTTTAAAAAAGCCTGGATTCTTTCTTAGATACACATAACATAATTGGATACTGATATTTATAGGTAAAGTTGATCCAGGGAATATCCGATTTGTCTCTTGGGGGATCAGGAAGCAAATTGGATCATGCATTATTAGGTTTTTTTTTTGCCTTCCTCTAGAACAGTGGTTCTCAACCTGTGGGTCGCGACCCCTTTGGGGGTCGAACGACCATTTCACAGGGGTCCCCTAAGACCATCAGAAAACACATATTTCCGATGTGTAAAGAGCAGCTACTGTGTAGAAAGCAGCTGCTGTGTTGAAAGCAGCTACTCTGTTAAAAGCAGCTACTGTGTTGAAAGCAGCAGTATTGGAGGTAAAACGACACTCATGAATTATAATTACTGGGTAAATAATTTTATGGTTGGGGGTCACCACAACATGAGGAACTGTATTAAAGGGTCACGGCATTAGGAAGGTTGAAAACCACTGCTCTAGAACTGTGGGAATAGGATTGTGTGTGTGTATGTGTATGTATATGTATGTGTGTGTGTGTATATATATACAGTCATGGCCGAAATTGTTGGCACCCTTGATATTTCTCCAGGAAATCATGTATTTCTCACGAAACGTATTGCATTAACACATGTTTTGCTATACACATGTTTATTCCCTTTGTGTGTATTGGGACAAAACAAAAAAAGGGAGGAAAGAAAGCAAATTCGACATAATGTCACACAAACCTCCAAAAATGGGCTGGACAAAAGTATTGGCACCCTTTCACAACTGCGGATAAATAAGAATGTTACAAGCATGTGATGCTCCTGTAAACTCACCTGGGGCAAGTAACAGGTGTGGGCAATATAGAAATCACACCTGAAAGCAGATAAAAAGGAGAGACGTTCACTTAACCTTTGCATTGTGTGTCTGTCTGTGCCACACTAAGCATGGACAACAGAAAGAGGAGACGAGAACTGTCTGAGGACCTGAGAACCAAAATTGTGGCAAAATATCAACAATCTCAAGGTTACAAGTCCATCTCCAGAGAACTAGATTTGCCTTTGTCCACAGTGCGCAACATTATCAAGAAGTTTGCAACCCATGGCACTGTAGCTAATCTCCCTGGTCGTGGACGGATGAGGAAAATTGATGAAAGATTGCAACGCAGAATAGTCCGGATGGTGGATAAGCAGCCCCAAACATGTTCCAAAGACATTCAAGCTGTCCTGCAGGCTCAGGGAGCATCAGTGTCAGCGCGAACTATCCGTCGACATTTAAATGAAATGAAACGCTATGGCAGGAGACCCAGGAGGACCCCACTGCTGACACAGAGACATAAAAAAGCAAGACTACAGTTTGCCAAAATGTACTTGAGTAAGCCAAAAGCCTTCTGGGAAAACGTCTTGTGGACAGATGAGACCAAGATAGAGCTTTTCGGTAAAGCACATCATTCTACTGTTTACCGAAAACGGAATGAGGCCTACAAAGAACAAAACACAGTACCTACGGTAAAAATATATGGTGGAGGTTCAATGATGTTTTGGGGTTGTTTTGCTGCCTCTGGCACTGGGTGCCTTGACTGTGTGCAAGGCATCATGAAATCTGAGGATTACCAAAGGATTTTGGGTCGCACTGTAGGGCCCAGTGTCAGAAAGCTGGGTTTGCGTCCAAGATCCTGGGTCTTCCAGCAGGACAATGACCCCAAACATACGTCAAAAAGCACTCAGAAATGGATGGCAAAGAAGCGCTGGAGAGTTCTGAAGTGGCCAGCAATGAGCCCAGATCTAAATCCCATTGAACACCTGTGGAGAGATCTTAAAATTGCTGTTGGGAAAAGGTGTCCTTCCAATAAGAGAGACCTGGAGCTGTTTGCAAAGGAAGAGTGGTCCAAAATTCCGGGTGAGAGGTGTCAGAAGCTTATTGATGGTTATAGGAAGCGACTGATTTCAGTTATGTTTTCCAAAGGGTGTGCAACCAAATATTAAGTTAAGGGTGCCAATACTTTTGTCCAGCCCATTTTTGGGGTTTTGTGTGACATTATGTCATATTTTGCTTTTCTGCCTCTGTTTTTATATTTGTTCCAATACATACAAAGGGAATAAACATGTGTATAGCAAAACATGTGTTAATGCAATACCTTTTTTGTGTGAAATACTTGATTTTCAGGAAAAATATCAAGGGTGCCAACAATTTCGGCCATGACTGTATATATATATGTGTGTGTGTATATATATATGCGTGTGTATATATATATATATGTATATATGTGTGTGTGTGTGTGTGTGTGTGTGTGTGTATATATATATATATATTTACACAGGGCAGCACAGTGGCTAAATGGTTAGCACTTCCACCTGGCAGTACTAGGGTTGTTGGTTTGAATCCCAACCATGGCACCACCTGCCTGGAGTTTGCATGTTCTCTCTGTACCTGCGTGGGTTTCCTCCAGGTACTCCAGTTTCCTACCACACTCCAAAGACATGATGGTAGGTTAATTGGCTCTGTCTAAATTGGCCCTAGTATGAATATGTATGAATGTGAGTTAAGGACCTTAGATTGTACGCCCCTTGAGGGTTAGGGACTGATGTGAATGTACAATATATATGTGTAAAGCACTGTGTAAATAGACGGCGCTATAAACGTACTTGTAATAAATAAATATATATACACACACAGTGGATATAAACAAGTCTACACACCCCTGTTAAAATGTCAGGTTTCTGTGATGTAAAAAAATGACAATTTCTGAACTTTTTCCACCTTTTTAATGTAACCTATAAACTGTACAACTCAGTTGAACAACAAACTGAAATCTTCTAGGTGAAGGGAAGTTAAAATAAACTAAACTAATATGGCTGCATAAATGTACACACCCTTACACTAATACTTTGTTGAAGCACCTTTTGATTTTATTCAAGCACTCAGTCTTTTTGGGTATGAGTCTATCAGCATGGCACATCTTGGCAATATTTGCCCACTCTTCCTTGCAGAAACACTCTAAATCTGTCAAATTGAGAGGGCATCTCCTGTGCACAGCCCTCTTCAGATCAGCCCACAGATTTTCGATCGGATTCAGGTCTGGGCTCTGGCTGGACCATTCCAAAACTTTAATCTTCTTGTAAAGCCATTCCTTTGTTGATTTGGATGTATGCTTTGGGTCGTTGTCATGCTGAAACATGTTCAACTTTCTAGCAGAAGCCTGAAGGTTTTGGCCAATATTGACTGGTATTTGGAACTGTTCATAATTCCCTTTACCTTGACTAAGGCCCCAGTTCCAGCTGAAGAAAAACAGCCCCAAATATGATGCCACCACCATGCTTCACTGTGGGTATGGTGTTCTTTTGGGTATGTGCAGTGTTGTTTTTGCGCCAAACATATCTTTTGGAATTATGGCCAAAAAGTTCAACCTTGGTTTCATCAGACCATAACACATTTTCCCACATGCTTTGGCAGACTTCAGATGTGTTTTTTTTTTTTCCAAATGTAGCAGGGCTTTGATGTTTTTTCTTCATAAGAAAATGCTTCTGTCTTGCCACTCTACCCCATAGCCCAGACATATGAAGAATAGGGGACATTGTTGTCACATGTACCACACAGCCAGTACTTGCCAGATATTCCTGCAGCTCCTTTAATGTTGCTGTAGGCCTCTTGGCAGCCTCCCAGACCAGTTTTCATCTTGTCTTTTCATCAATTGGAGGGACATTAAGTTCTTGGTAATGTCACTGTTGTGCCATATTTTCTCCACTTGATGATTACTGTCTTCACTGTGTTCCATGGTATATCTAATGCCTTGGAAATTCTTTTGTACCCTTCTCATGACTGATACCTTTTAACAATGAGATCCCTTTGGAAGCTCTCTGCGGACCATGGCTTTTGCTGTAGGATGTGACTAAG